CTGTTTCAGTGGTGACTAAAGCTTGTCTGATGAGCACTTCTGATCTCTGCCATGTTTTTCATACTTGGACATGTTTGCAACATTTTTGAATGTCAAAGCAGACACATATCTTTTAAATAAATAAATCAAGTGAAGATTTATCTCCTCATCGCTTTGCCAGATATCTGCTCAGTTCTGAAGGGCTGCGATGGCTGCTGCTGCATGAGCTTTTCCGTCAAAGCCAGCCTGATTTCGGATTCTTGTTGGAATAATTGTGTATGTCACATCTGACAGAAGCAGCTGCTTAAAAGGGCATCTGTAACAAGCCGTTAAGATTTCTTGCTGGCTGGGGGAAGGGGGACCTGGAAGGGCTCGGGAAGAGCGTTCTATGATCCTATGTTTTGGGCTCCGATGAGCCAATTCAGACTGCAGATATTTTTAGCACTATTCTTCAGCAGAGGCAGCGTGCTGCACACCGACACGGTGCTTCTCCTGTAGGTCGGTGTAGCTATGTTTCCACCTCCTGGCAACTATAAGGAATAGCTCAGGAGAGACCAAGGAGAGAGAATTTCTGGTTTCCTGAGACGCTAGAATACGAAGCAGGAATTTTAAAGAGGTGCTTCTCTTGAGCTCAGAGAGATTTTTAAATCTTCAGAGTTCTTTATTCTATGCTATGTATAAGCATAGAAGCTGTTTCCAAATAGCTTGCTTTGCAACTACGTGTGAAAATGAGTGCTCGAGCTGAAAGGTCGTAAATACAAGGTGCTTGCAGCAAGTCTGTAAGTAATAAGACACCAGAGAGACATTTCACATTGAGGGAGGGAGAATCAGCGTATATCCATGGTAACTGGGGACATGAACACACCTAGTGAAATTCCAGCTCAAAATACCCACACATCCTATCCATTAAGGACAACTGTTGTCACAGAGGTACATACAGTTATGGAGGACACACAGTCAAGGCTAGGCATTCTGTGAGGTAAGTGCCCTTCAGTAATAAGAAAATGCTAATTTTCTGTCAAGAATGAGCGTTTTAGCTTGCTCAAAGAATCAGCAGCAAAGGAATCAGCAAAAGCAGGTTTAATATTAAAGTGAAAGTGCGACAAAATTCATTGGCAAAGCTCACTTTGCTACTTACTAGATGGTTAAAGCACACAGAGAAAAACCATAGTAAAATGCAAAATCAGTCAATCTAAAACTAAAATCAGCAACAAATGACCTACATCGAGGTGGAGGATGGAAAAATCTGATTTTCCCAAATAAAAATCTCTTTCACAAGTCAGGATGAACTCTCCCTGTCCTCCACAACAGTGTAGCCAGAGCTGGGTTTTCTCTCAGGACCTGCTCAGTAACCTATAGTGCCCATTTCCTGCTCTTTGCCAGGCCAATGCCATCTGCCTGTTTCACAGGAAAGAACAAAAGTTCTTTTGGTAGTCATCTCAGAACTGCATTGTGTGAACAGGAAAAAGGCATTTGAGGAGATCACGAAATGCATATTTCTAGAACCTATAAAGAACTACAAACTGCTAGCCCAAATATTCCAGATGAAAATATCTTTTTCAGTGAAAATGGATTTTCAAGCTGACTGTCCTGGTGTGCATTCAGCCAGGATCCCCTATGGGCAGAATGAGATCACTGTTCCCTGTGCCCTTGTTAACCACATCAAAGCTAGGTTAGAGAAGTTTCATAGCATCTGTACATAACCCTGGTTGAGGTGCTGCACTTTAAATGAGGTTGTTTTCTTCGTTGTTCAGTTGCAGGTACCCAGTTGTCCACGGCTTGTCTTCTTCTACATGAGGAAAAATTTACCCTTTTGCCTTACTCGGGAAAATCACTCTGTGCAAAGGGCCTTGTTGGAAGCCTATATAGTTCTAAGGTGCTTCTGGTGTATGCCTGTGAATGCGTTTTTAAAATCCTTTAGCCAGGGTCTCTGTGTCGTTACAGAAGTCATAAACTAGCTCTGACAATAAACCATGTGGAAAACGGTGTGTAATCGATGATGCAACCTCATCAGCTGAGCATCCCTGCATACCTTGTCACTTAAATGCAGCAGCTCTTAAAGTGTGTGCAGAATGTTGTACCTATATATTGATTTTTTAAAATACACATACAGGTAGCAACGTGGCCACAGCACAGACACTTTTAGCAAATTAAGACGTTTCATATGTGTTTTAGCTGTGCATGGACATGGCCATATGTACATAGCCCGTACAGGCCTGAGGCCAGGGGGTGGGAAGAAGGCTGTGGCCTGTGTCATGAATATATGCAGCCAAGTCCTTGTGGTGGGGAGTGAGAGGCTTCCTGTGTCCCCTCCTGACACTTCTGCACACTCTGTGCTAGTTGACTTTTTTTTTTATTTATTTTGTTTCCCTTTCTCTCATTTGTTTTGCAGTGCTGTGCCTCAGCTTTTCACACAGCACCTTTGGACACCGAATAAGGAGCCCAAAGTCCTGGTGTGCATGTTCTCCCAGCCTGGAGAAGCTCTGCCACCCCACCTTCAGGAGCTTCCCCGCTGGGCTCTATTTTAAGCCACGCTGGGGAGGTGAGAAAATGAAGATCTTTTATCAGCAAGCCCACGGTCCCACGACAGTATTAACTTTTGTAGGAGATGACCCGACTTCGAGTTGTGTTTTCCACCTGCAGAACACTCGTCTATAACAAAGTGGGGGCAGTTTGGGCAGCACAAACCCGAACGAGGACGTGTTGTAGGACTTCCCCTGGCAACTCCACTCCTCTGCATCCTCCTCCCTTGCGTCGAGAGTAAAATCTGCCAGTAGTGCTGGTAACCAGGAGAGAAAGGAGGTGAGAAGTTTCACTGGAAACCACTGTGGGGAATGTTTCTAAACCACTGACTGACGTAGAGTGTTCACTGGCTCGTGAGAAAGGGAGCTTGTGACAGCGAAGAAGACTGCATGGGGAGGAAGGAAACAGGTAAAGCACAAGCATCCCCTTACGTTTATTACACTGCACCAAAAGAGTGTAGGCAGTGCTAAATGGCATCCTGACTCTGGTGTCATGACTTTAGTTGGCATTTGAGAGGTGGGATGTGTAGCTTTTTCCAGTATAGATGTGGGTTTCTATTTCAGGTATGCTTTGTTACACAACCAATTTGTTCAGCTTACCAAAAAAAACCCGCCAAAAAATAAAAAAAAATTACAGAAATGGAAGCCACTGAAAGAAAACTATTGATTGAGCCTTGTCCTTTGCCATATGGTAACAATATGTATTTCATATTTGGAAGTGTTGATCTAGCTGTGCTATAAACACAGGAGACAAGATTTTCCCTTCCTTAAAAAAATATTTGAAAAAAATCATCTTCTGTGTGATGACTCTGGAGCAGAAGGCCTACAAGGGGTAGGGATTAAAGTAGTTAAGGCCACAAACATCTATGTGGTAGATAGGTTTGGTTGCTGGAGTATTGGGGTAGGGTGAGAAGTCCCTGAGGTAAATGTCTCATGAGTGGTAAGGGGATTCTCTAGGCCAGGAGCAGAAGCTGCTGAGCATGGCCATGCTGGCCCAGCGACTGTGCAATTAGGGGAAAATCAGGTACTTCAAAAAAGGAGTACTTTTTCTTCATCTCTGGAATCTATAATCTCAGAAAAAAAAATCTCTGAAATCTATCTCTGCAATATAATTATCTCAGCAATATAGTTGTCTCTGGATATTTTAACCTGGAAGTGTCTGGTTTTAAAGGTTCCATTATCCTCAGGCTTTCCCCCATCTGTTTGCTGACACTGGTGACTGCCACAGATGGTTTATACCAGGGAAAGTCAAGCTGTTAGGTACAAGAATTATTTTTTTCCCCCCATATAATGGAAAATGTAAAGCAAATGTCTTTGGTCTTTCTGAAAGGAGGAGAACAGGCTACCAGGAGGGTGGTATTCTCGTTCATCCTTTGCTCCTATTCCCCATTCCCAACACTGGGTGCCTTCTGAGGGAGTGAGGTGTATACCTTGGCCTATGGAATAACTTCATGGGACTAATTTACTTTCTAGAAGGGCTTGTGTTAAAAAGGTAAATATCTCAGAGAAGAGAGGAGATCCCCATCTGTTTTCTTGAATTACAGCTACTGAAGATGAGGGGGGAAAAAAAAGCAGGACAAAATACTCATCTTCTGTATGGCAAATACTTTTTCCCCTGGGGAAAAAACCCACACTTTGTAATGTTAATATTGGTATTATTCTAAATATTGATATCTTTATGAATTCAGTAGACAGACACCACAAGCCTCTGCCTTGCTGTGGAGGAAATTTCAAACCTATTTTCCTTCAGCTGTGCAATAGCAAAACACTGTAATTTTACAGTTGTTTTGTGGAACTTGTTCGTAATTGAAGCTGACACAGATGTGTGCAACTGCTTCCTCTTCTTGCCATCCCTTCCAGCCCTTCCTTACCCAAAGACACAGGTCTTACAGAGAACAGACTTCTGAGATTGGGTCTTTTCTACCTTTTAAAATGTGCTTCCACTGCAAAACAACCATATTTTGCTGAGTTAATAATGGGAATGGCTATGTGACATATGTGACATACATGCTTTAGAAAGTTGTGGTGAAGACCACTGCACTGCTGCACTGATTGATCCCTGACCTTCTCCTCTTTTGTACTGTGTTAACACGTATTTTAATTGTGTTGGACTTAGCTTTTGTTTGTGCTTTGTTTTAAGTTGTTGCCTTGCATAGCTCAAGGCTTGTAGCTCGTGTTTGGTGTGTAAGAGCAGGCAGCTGAGGTTGTGATTTGTTCTTCGTGTCAGAAGTTCGTCTCCCTCAATTTAACTGTGCCACATCCTCTTCAGGGGAGTGCACAACTCGGCTCTTTTGGAGGGCGTGGAGGCTGTGTCTGTCTGTGAGACAAATCAGCTGCATGTCAAGATCTCAGGAGCAACAGTGAGAAGAAATCAATGAATTGGACAGCTGAAAACAGGGACTACCTGGGATGGATGGTCCTAAACTGGGATAGTTCTTACTTTGCAGTTATATCTGGATCCCTAGTGAGGACAGAGAGGGAGAGGAACTCCAAGTACATCTCTGCAATTCCCTGCTGTACAGGAGCTGCCTTGTGAGCAGTCACTGGGACCAGCATCCACGCTGGACCAGCATCCAGGCTGGACCAGTATCCACACTGGACCAGCATTCACACTGGACCGGCTGTGTATGCCAGCATCTCCCTACTCATTCCCTCCTACATCGAGGGTCGGATGCCTGGAGCACACTGGCACTGCTGTTGAATTCCTGTGCTCCCGAGGCTGGAGGGCTCCCCTCCAGGCTGATAACTGGGTAACTTTCCTCCAGCATCAGTACTCCTTGGGTTGAATCCGAGCGTGAGCGGTGCCGTTCTCCGGCTGGAAGGCTGAGGCTAATGGAAGAGTGATGCCCACATTGCATGGTCTTGTGCCAACCACCACCATCGAGGCTGAGTAAAAATTCTAATTTGTTTTAAATGCAGTTGTTGAGGCATTTTAATTCCATCAAAGCGAACAACACGAGACAAGCTACAAATATTCATTTGCTGCTTTTAAATGAATTTGATTCAGCTGTGCTTGGTTTTTCTTTTCTGGGTTTTACTCTGAGACTTCTTTCCCGCTCTCAGGCACGAGTATTTGAGGATTGTGAACCTTAAAATCTGCAGACTAAATTCTGTTTCACACATGAATATTTAAACAGAGTAATACACTCTGTTCTTTCTGTAAGGTCCCATTTTTAATCATTAAAGCCTGTTCTTTTGAGCAAATAAACCTCATATATATGAGACTTTTATGCATTTTAAAAAAAGATAGTTCTCTGGGACAAGTTCCAATATGACAATATATACTGTTGTGAATATTTATGGATCCATCAAAATTGACGAATACTGAATTTGCTGACAAACATTGTGGAGGGTTTGGGGGTCTTTTAACTTTTCTTTTGAAAGAGACTGAGAAATTATTTGCAAATTGGGTCAAACTCAGTACATAATTCTGGGCAAAATGTATCTTTTTTTTTTTTTGGTTAAAAAAGTTCAGCTTTCAAAGTTTCAAACTTCTTTGATTGAAAGCAACTTTTGCAGGCATAATGTATCCAAAATGCAAAAAAAAAAAAAATATCCCAAAACTTCTGACAGCATTGAATAAAATGAAACAAAACAAAATATTTCCTTAGTGGAAAAGATTTTATGTGAATGAAAATTAAATTTGAGATTTTTTGCATGTGAGAGTTACACTGTCTATTGTACGTTAGAAGCAGAATACGGATCAATGTGGCTGTGTTGGTGTTTTTTCCAGACTGTAATGTAAGCTTTTCATTCAGTTGTATTACTCTGTTGTTAGAATTGTGAACAAAACAATTCTTTGAGGAAAACAATTCTGTTGAGGGTGGTGAGTTGCTGGCACAGGTTGCCCAGAGAAGTTGTGGATGCCCCATTCCTGGAAGTGTTCAAGGCCAGGTTGGTTGGAGCTCTGAGGAACTTGGTCCAGTGGAAGGTGTCCCTGCCCATGGCAGGGGGGTGGAACTAAATGATCTTTAAGGTCCCTTCCAACCCAAACCATTCTGTGATTCTATGATTCTGTGTCTAAATGTACATACATACTGCATTGTGTTTAAGGAAATACTGCCTTCCCTTGCATTTAGCTCATGACTGTGGCAGCCTTCGTTCTTCCTGTGCCACAAGCGTGGCAGTGTTGTGGTTTTTCTTGTGTACACCAGGCATCCTCATCTGATATGTTTCACATTTAAAATGAAATTGTTAGTGCCCCACAGTTGGAGCTGGTTATTTTTATAGCAGTTGACACCAGATGAGGATTTAGGTCTCTGTGTGCACAGCGAGCCTTGGCTGCCTTTCCTTCTCCTCTCAGCACACACTGAGAACCCTCCCTGTGTTTGAATACGGGTGTAAACACTGTGTGAGCTAAATAACTCAGAAGTAAAGTCCTCTTGTGATTGCACAAAGATATTTGCCTGTCTGGTGCATATTGGGTTCTGACTTGGGGAGGAAAACAGCGTATCATTTTTTCTCTTGGGATGGAAACACGATTTTCCAATCGTCTCCAGCTGTGGGTGACTGATTGAGAAAGTAAAATATTAAAGAGATAGAAATGGCAGCATGAAGGGGAGAATGACAAAAGGTCTACCAAGAAGACAATTAGAGGGAATGCCGAGGGGAGTCATGGAAAATGAGACAGCCTCATGGGCAGGCTGCAGGGAGCCCCAGGACAAAAGTGCAGCCACTGATTTCTGACAGTAACATCAGAAAACTGAAGTCAGGTTGTGGCTACTGTAGTGCTGTGGGAACAGGCACACACTCCCAGGCCTGGGCTTTATCCCCCAGCTGGCTGGGAATACATACGTGTGTTGTTCAGTACAGAGCAGTGCAACTTTACCATGCCAAGCTGGGGTCATTTCTGTATGGTATCTGAGCACAGGAAAATATCAGCGATGTTCTTAATCAAATCCACGTTCAAGAAACAGCTGAATGAGTTTACATCAAAACTCTCCACTGAGAACCATATATATTTTGTTTGGAAAGCTTTTGGGTAACACAGAGTTCTGCTTTCTTGTGTGAACCAGAAAACAAAGTGTTGGGATGACAACACTGCCTTGGTCTTACCAAAGAACCAGTCCCATTTTGCCAAAAAGGAGCTAGAAATTTGCAAGATAGGGTTTGTTGAAAAGGTATATACAGTTGTAGAACAGCATGAGTTACTGGATGCCTCTTTGGTTCACCGTGTCTATGAAGGCAGGAAACAAACTCACATGTTTTTTATCTCTTGCAATAGGAAGGTTGCTCTTTTTGTTCTACTGCAGAAGGAGAGTTAACTTTCAAGAAATTAAAAGCCTGCAAGGGTTAGGAATAATACCTTTGCCCAACAGTTGATGAAGTCTAGATCCTGAGTGGTACAAGAGATCCTGGATTTTAAAAAAAATTTGTAAACAGTAGTGGGTGGTTTGTGTTTTGTTGTTGTTGTTTTTAATTTTCAACCCCCTTTTTGCCTTACTTTCCTCAGTACAAGAAAGATATTTGACATGGCATCTTATTTACAACTTATGTTTTCAAAGAAAACAGAGGTTTTACTATAGGTACTCTTTGAAGAGATTTGCGCAACAATTTGTGGCTGCATGTCATTCTCTTTGCCTTCACTTTCTGCAGTGCTGACTCCTTCTCCTGAAGATGTCTCAGAAATGGGCAGTTCTGGCTGTGCTCTTTTTCTTGGCAATCAATCTGATTGAAGGTAAGTGAGAACGATCCAAGCACTCCCTATTTCTAATTTGCAAGTACACCAAAACTTCGTAGTTCACCAGAGCAAATTTTGCTTATTGCTTGATGTGAATGCAAAGAGTGATGTCACCTCAGCTGGCAAAATAATCGTGTGCCCTGCAGAGTGGCACAGGATGATATATCTGACAGGAATCCAACACAAATCGTCTGAAGACACATCCGCTGTTCAACTGGTAGAAAAGGGATCTACATGCACCCCTTACTAACCTCCTGCACCAAGTGATCCTGGGTTTTGACTGTGTCACAGGTGTACATCCCACAGCTGTCCCCGGTTTTACTTGCACTGTAAGAAAGGCACCTAACTCAGTAACACAATGAAATTTTTAAAAAAGTGGTTTCCTTTCCCCTGAGAGGGAATTTTGCCCCCCATCACCAGTCTCTCAAAGCCTATGTTAAAGTGATAGAAACTTGTTGCCTACAATAAGATGGAGGACTCACAGCTCCTTTGCATTCATCACATACCTGCAGAAAGGTACCATCTCCACTGCATTTCCAGACTTCAGGAAGCTGGACCTGGAAAGTGAATACTAACATGTGCCCACACACAGCAATTTGTCCCCAAGGCTGCCAGTACAGTGAGGGAGTAGAAATTTTTAATGGTGTGATGAAGCCAACAGTTTCCTGTGCTTTGATGGTGGTGCAGCATCTTTTTTTATGTCTTTTTTCTTCTTGTGTAGCTTACAACACAGTGAGTGTGGAGGCTGGTCATGAGGCTGTGCTGAGCTGCCCTTACATCTTCAACGTGTCTTTGCTGATGGTGACATGGAAGAAGAAATGCAGCAGTTGCTGTGTGTTGGCCTACAGAAGTGATCACAGTGAGACAGGGAAGACAAACTGCACTGAGAGGATCATGTGGAAATATTCACCTGACAGTGACCCTGCCCTTCGTATTTACCCTGTGAACCTTAGTGATGAGGGAAATTACAGCTGTGAAATTGTCAACAGCGAAGGGAATTTTTATTTTTCCTCTTCTCTGACTGTCATGGGTAAGACTGCATCATTAAAATAAAAATTATTAAAAAAAAGTTATTAAAAAAGCTAGCCTATTTTCAACATAGGCAGGAACAAAAGAATATTAGGAAACATAATGAATACATTAAAACATCTTTTTCAGATGGTGACGTAAACTATCCATAGGTTTCCATAAATTAAAAAAAAAAAAAGATGGAGAAAATTTTATGTTCTGGACATTTTAGTTAAGCCTTCTGAATATAACTAAAAATCATGGGAGATTAATTTTGGAACTCTGTAATTGCTACTATTAATTTTAGTCACTTGATTTTTTTGGGGGTATTTTTTGGTTGGTTGGAGGTTTTTTTATTGTTTTAGTTTGGTTTTGGGTTTGCTTTTATTTTGTTCTTCCCTGCAGAGTCTTACCTTTCAGATAAAGGCTTAGGTGGTGTGTGAGCCCTTCCCTGTTCTGTCAAATGCACAGTACGAGTTGTTGGACTTCAAGCAGAACAGTTTTGCCCGATTCCTCTTTTATTTCCCTGCTATCAAATTTTTGATTCTACATATCCAATCTCCTAAATGTTTTACCTGGAGCTTCAGCAAGCTGCATTTTTTTCAGAATGTGCACCGCTGTACTTATAAATCTTGATTTAATCCACCCCTCTGTGCCATCTCATCTCCTGTTAGTCTGGAAAATGGGAGGAAGCAGTATTTTAGATCCAAGTAGCTAGTTTTTGGTGTATTCACCTTGAACTTTTTTTTCCTCTGAAGATAGCTCGTCCTAATATTTCAAATTATTTTAAAATCTCACGAATTGGTCACACAAACAAACAAACAAACAAACAAAAATACCTCTCGCTTTTCAGTTTCAGTTGGCGATTTTGTACCGAACTAGAAATAATGGCTGTGGCTTTTTTTTTTTTTTTTGTTAAATTATTTATTCCTTCTGTAGTCCCTCCTAGAGCGACTCTGACCTACGACAAGAGCAGGGGGGCCGTCTGCCGGGCGTCTGCGGGAAAGCCGGCTGCTGACATCTGGATCCCGGCAAGCAACGCCAGCACTGAGGAAGAAATCCAGCACGCCAACGGGACGGTGACCAGGGTGAGCTACACAGGCTGGGCCAACAGCACGCTGCCCACTGCCACCTGCCTGGTGACCCACCCAGCCTCAAACCAGACCCTGTCCATAGACCTGACAAGTAAGTACTGTTATAAATGCCCTTCATCCTGCCCTTGGGCTTCTCTGTGCTGCTCTGTGCAGCTGTTTCCACAGAAGGAAAGCCGAGGCTCTGTGGTTTGCTTAGTTGTAAGCCGGAGTTCTAGTGCACGTTGGGAGAGAAATTAATAATTTTGAGTTAGTTGAAACCCAGTGTTTTGTGGCACTGTGTGGAGAAGCTTTCAGTGCGTGCTTCTTTCTATCCCTGTCCTGTTTTACAAGAATTTCTCATTCTGTTTCTAGACAATAGACACCTGGCTGCCAGGTGTCCACCAAGCTGCTTGATTACTCCCACTTCTCAACAAGATAGGGAAAAAAAGTACTATGGAAAGCTCATGGGTCGAGATAAGGACAGGAAGAGATCACTCCCAATTAATGTTGCAGGCATTGAGAGAAATTAATTTAATTTATGGATAATCAGATCAGAGTAGGATAGTGAGAAACAAGAACAAATATAAAAAAATCTTCCTCACAACCTTCCCCTTCTTCCCAGGCTCAGTTTCACTTCTGACTTCTCTGTCTCCTCCCCCTGAGTTGTATAGGGGAATGCAGGCTTTGGTCAGTTTTAACACTTCATCTCTGCTGCTGCTTCCTCCTCGTTCTTTTCCCCTGCTCCAGTGTGGGGTCCCACCCACAGGAGGCAGTCCATGAACTTCTCCAACATGAGTCCTTCCCGTGGGCTGCAGTTCTTCACAAACTGAAGCTGAATTTTGTCCAGTGTGATAGTTTGGAGAAAATTTCCTGGGAGAATGTCTGTCTGTGACTTTCAAATATTCTTTCTGATGGCCAGAGGTAGTAAAAGGTAAAATTCAGCTTCTCAGCTGGCTGTTCTGGAGCTATTAGAAGTCTCTATTGCATGAGGATTTGTAAGAACAGCTCATATCACCAAAATATCTCAATAGAGGCATGAAGGACAGAAGTCAGCATAGAAAAGTCATTAATAAAAGCATTTGCCAGGAACAGCTGGTCAGTTCTTTTGCTGCAGGGCTACTAATAGTTGAAGAAAAGGAGACCTTGAAGGCAGATGAGTTGAAAATGAAAACGTGTTTGCACACACAAATGACTGGGTGTGTGGGGCAACTTCCTATTGCTGGTTGGCATCCAGAGAGCTCATCTGTTTCTCTCTGCTCCCTTTGAGCTGTGGAGGCAGAGGATAAACTTTTTCCTGGGGTTAAGGTGGATGGTAACAGCGTGTAGTCAGTGGATGCTGATGCCTAGCTCTGTAACTTGCTCTCATCTCTCATCTCCCAGATGCTTCCCCCAGCCTTCCCTATCTCCTGATAGGAGGATCTGCAAGTGTTGCTGCTGTCACTGGTGTGACTTTATGCTTGATTTTCTGGTGCAGAGGTAAGTCCTTTGATGAACCTGAAGTGTATTACTATTCCATTGCTGACTTTGTGCAGGTACAAGGACTTGTGCTTTGCCACATGAGAGTGGGGTGGGAGGCAAGCCTTGAGGAAAATGTCCATATATGATGCATTGTCCTTTTGGAAAAGTCCTAATAAAATAAGGGCTGGAACTTTAAAACAAGTTAGGAGTTTTGTAAGAGCCATAGGTGTTGTGATATTGATGTGTTACATATATGTCAGAGAGTCATCCAGGATGAAAAGGGTTCTTTCTGAGAGTAGGGTGAGTTTTGAGTTTTTAGAATTATCTTGATCTGCATTTACTGGCATAAAATTCTGCACATAAGAATGGCTGTTCACCAACTAGACACAAAGAAGTTCCGTTTACACCAGCAAGTGTAAGAATAGGCCAAATGTAGCTGCTTCAGTATCTTTCAGATGATTCCCCCTGCACAGGGCATGTTATATAGCAGATTTATTTCATGAACCGGGTCTGGACAAACATGGTGAAAGAGGGCTGGCAAGAGAGGACAGTGAGTGGAGGTGTGCACTAAAAGAGAAAAAAAGGGAAGGTTAGGAAAATGAAGACAGGAGAAGAAAACAGAGGGGCAGTTGTCATCAACAGTGGCAGCACTTTGATGGGAGCCTGTCCCTGCCACAGGGTGATGTGTGTGTCTTTGGAGCAGGTGAGGGGAAGAAAAAACATGCTCAGATGGGTTCCTTGGCCCAGTGTATCTCTGTAGAGCTGAGGAAAAGTGCACTTAACAGAGTCAAACCTGTCATGTGTCCCAGTGCTGTGGTTTAACAACGAAGTGCCTTGCAGCCCCTCACTCGCTCCTCCCCACCCCACCACGGTGGAGAGGAGAACCAGAGGAGAAAAAGTAAACCCCATGGATGAAGATAAGAAGGGTTTAATAAAATAAATAAATAAATAAAACAAAATCAAATATAACAGTACTACTAATACTAATGATGATACTAATGATAATTGTAGCAATATTAATAAAAGCTGTGGTGAAAATGAGAGAGAGAGAGAGAAGGAAAGAAAACCTGAGAGAAACAAGAAGTGTATGATGTAGCCTCACCATCCACTGATGGATGCCCAGTCCACCTCTGAGCAGTGATTGGTGGCTCCTGGCCAGCTCTCCCTGGTTTATGTACTGAGCATGGCTTTCTGTGGAGTGGAATATCCCTTTGGCCAGTTCAGATCAGCTGTCCTGGCCATGCTCCCTCCCAGCTTCTTGTGACCCTCCACGCTGGCAATGCATGGGAAGCTGAAAAGTCCTTGGCTTGGGGTAAGCACTACCTAGTAACAATTAAAACACCAGTGTGTTATCAACACATTTCTCCTATGGCACTGTACTAGCTGCTAAAAAGAAAATGAACTCTATTCCGGTAGAAACCAGGACACCCAGAGTGACCAGAAGTTTCTATGAAGGGAAAAATGAAACAACAGTGTATTCAAGAGCAGGATACAAAAAATAAGAACTTAACCTATCAGTATATTTTGAAGAAAGTCTTTCAACAGCCGAGGACAGCTAGAGGAGAACCCCTGATAGAGCAGCCTGTGTACCTGGCACCATCAAACCACTTTAATTTCCTGACATTCTTCTTTCAGCTTTCCGGTTACGACAATTGGCACAGGGGCCAGCAGAACCATCTGCAGTAAGTGACCTTCTTGTGTGTGTGTGTGTGCTTTGCTGTTTTTGGTGTATTCTTCACTAAAATGTATCATTTAATCGCAATGGGTCTACTCTGACAAGACTCCCATTTGTGTCTGTGTGCACTTTGAGGGGGGGATGAGGAACACTGCATCTGGGAGGATGTTTGTTGCTTGGACGGCCCTGTCTTCATGTATAATCAGGGTATCTGAGTGATTGTTTGAGCACTAGGTGTAGTGCATTTCCTGCCTATAGATTACATTTACTGTGCTGAATGTCAACTGTCCCAAAACTTAGTGTTTTCATGTTTCTGCTTCACAGAGTAACCTTAACTTAAGAATGTGTGTTTACTCTTGACGGCAGAAACCTGCTTGATTAAAGATCAGATGAAACCAGACATGCATTTTACAATGAGGGAAAAGGGTCCACTTCGTTTTGCTGTGTTAGAGACAAACACAGTTATGAAACTTTTACTTTTTGAAGTTGCAGTTCAAATACCCAGGAGCTAGGAAACAGCAGTGATAAGTTTACCACTGCAAATTTTCCTTTCTAATTCCAGTGTGTCATGATACATATTTACCAGAATATGCTGCTCTTTCCTCAGGGCTTCTGCCTCACTTAATGCACATTGAAAGAGCAATTATCTCATATTTTGTTTTCTGTGCACGGTTTAATTAATGGTCGTGTGCCTTGTTTGTTGCAAACAAGTCAGAGTGCTCTGAAGTTGGAATTAACTTCCTGATAAGCTCTTCTGTGGCTTTCAGGACAATTTGACTGACGGGAGTGGGAGTTATAGAAATCAAAGTCAAAGGCTTATAGTAATTTTAGTTGCCTAAATTGGATTGCTTTGTGGTCTGCCTGTTTGGTCGGTTGGTCGGTTGGTTTGTTGTTTGTTTGGGGTTTTTTGCCAGAGAAGCTGGCATTGCTCATTATCATCTATTTTGGTAAAGATACCAACATTTCAAAATTTGTTTTTGATCACATTAAGAAAACAATTTTCAAAGGCTGTCCTGTCTAGGCTTTGTGAAGGCTGTTCTTGCATCTCTCTGCCAGTTCAGGTTTCACCCTTAGTTCCCTACACTTTGGCTCAGAGAGTTCAGAGAAGTAACTTCACAGTTCTTTTGCAAAAATAACATTACCTACCAGGTTTCTTCAGCTCTTGTTTTTTTTTGTTTTGTTTGGACTCCATAGGAATGATGATTCCACAAAATCCTACAGTGTAATGTAATGGTACATGTTCTTCTTTCTGTTGCAGACTAGAAACTTCAAGTCCACACCCTCACATTTCTTACCAGAGACTATGTACGAAAACTACTATCCAGGATCCATATATATGAACATATACCAGTGCAGGCACAAGTAGTCTGATTCCAGCTCAGCTAGTAATGATACCCAGTTACTTGAACTTCAGCTAATAAACCTCAGACCTTACCCACAAAGGAAAGCCTTTGTCTTTCCTGACGGTGGGGGAGAAAAACCCATTTTAGCACGTTGTTTTTCTCTTTCTCAATGTATCAGTACAGCTGTTGAAACAGATGAAACTTTTAAAGACTGACTTGGGAAAACACCTACCTGAATTTTGTTTGAAAATGGACTCTGAGGTATGTGCTGCCTTTCCTCAAAACAATAACTGATGTGTATCTGCCAGAGGAACAGTGTGCTGGTGAAAATATAGCACAATTTTTCCATTTTAGCAACTGGATTCTCTTTGCACTTTTGTGTTGGAAATCAGAAAGAGACACGGGGGACCCCGAAACATAGAAGGTCAAAGAAACACATGCAGAAGAACCACAGAAATAAGAGAGTTTATGATTTGTTTTGAGGGGATTTTTGGTTTGTCTTTTTGGTTTTTGGTTTTGTTTGTTTTTTTTTTTTTCTGGGTAGATAGTTGCATGTGGCAGATGACAATCTGATATTTGTCATCTCTGTTTATTTTTTAATGTATTTCTTTTTCAATTAAGCTTTCTGTTTGCATTGCTAGTTGATGGGTAAAAAACCAATTTGAAACGCTACTTGATATGGAAATGAGAAATAACGATGGACAATTTTTGAAGATTCTTTTTAAAGGAAATGTGCAAATACTTACCTAAAGGATTTCTGTGGCTATTTGGGTGAACCTTTTTTGACCAGTTTCCGAGAAGCTGAGATCACACCACGGTTTTACTGAGAACAAGGGTGTTAAGTTGGGTAAAATGCAGGCAGTGCGTGTGTTTAAAACAAAATAAAAACCCACCAGCCCTAACCAAACCATTTATTTCTTCTCATCCTCGTGTCCCCAAGCTGAAAAAAACCCACACAGACTGGTAGTTTATTTCAGTTTTCGTCGGTCAGATTTGTCAAACCTTCCAAACACTAATGGACCAGTAACTGTGCTCAGATGTGTGCTTTGCATTGCCTTTGCCTTGCTCATTGCTGCAGGAAGTCACCTCTGTGTCCCCAGGCTTGAAGACCTCCCAGTGCCTTTTGATTGCACTTCACTTCATCACTTCTAAATAGCCATGGGTAGGCACCTGCTGGCATCACTCCAGCCTTTCCCTCTAGTCAGAAAGGTGTGAAGAAATGACTCTCTGCCTTAAGGAAAAAGGGCCTGGAGAAGGCAAGCTGGTTACTGTGCCTGGTATCCGAGTGAAATCTTCCTTGTGGTGTTAAATGTCAGTGATGGGCCACTCTCAGAGCACTGTCCTGCTCCCTCAAGCCTTCCGTGGGGAAAGAGAAGCACCTTTTCATGCGCAAAACCTCTGGGAGAAATAAGTGACAGATGGCTTGGAATTAGTGGAAACGTGTTTTCAGTGATTCTAGCTAGGAAAAGCGTTTTGGAGCTCTAGTGAAATCCACAGCAGTACCTTTGTCCAAGGAAGTGGTTTCCCAGTTCTGCTGGCCCACAGCTGACAGTGCATTGTGGGCATGATCCAGCATCTTCTTCTGTCTTCCCTTTCAGCTGGGATCTTTCACAGTCAGGGTGCTGTCAAGGGTTCTGCTGTGACTGGAAGCTTCTGAAATAGGGGGAAGATCTCTTGTTGCTTAGGGCATTGCCCAATTGGGTCCAAAACTGGGTTCCTAAGCTGGTGTTGCTCAGTGTGGCAAGTGAGCAAAGGATTGTTCTTGCAGACAACTACAGCAATTTGGGCCTTTCTCATTCGGAAGTTGGACCATTGCAGCCAGACCAAAGGATGACAGGGTTGTTAAAATGAAGAGAATTAGGCAGAACTAGGCTGTGTAGCAGTCTGATTTTGGCAATCAAGGTGCATGTGTGTTGTGATTATTAGGGTGTAATGCATGAACTTTTCATAATTCCTTTGCTCCAAGTGAAATGTTGAAGAGGCAGAAAAAAGAGGGAGGTGATGGTGTGTGTGGGGAAAGTCCTCTGGAGAAGCATCCCTGTCACAAACGGCCCTGGCTGAAAATTATGGTTTCCATGCTCATGACTTTTTTCCCCTCTTTTATTTTGTATTTGGTGGAATTTGTCCAGTCACCTGTAATGTGTCAGCATTTCCATTAAGCTAGAAATTCTGAGCAGACTGTTTGCTGAAACGAGGTGCTCTGGCAATGAGAGAGGTCCATTTGTGCAGCAGGTGCTTGGTGAAATGGGCTTTGCTGGTGGTTCCACAGCTCTTAACAGCCATGTGGACTACAGTTTGCCTGATTTCTTATTCCTGGGATGGCCCAAGAGCCAGTCCTGCTGCAACTTCTCAGAAAATTAGCTCGCAACATCGTAGCCAGACTTTGATTATAACCAGTTTACTGCCAACAAAAAGCTCAAGTTATCAACCCAGAGCTCAGGCAAACCCACATGTCAAAGGTTTCAGCTGCCTAATTGTTGTATCTTCCTTCTGCAATAAAATTTGCCCTCATCCTTTTCGAGCTTGCTGTGTATGATTAATAAAACTTATTAGGCCAAAGAGAACAATGTGGCTAGTGGGGGTGGTTTTAAGAAAGGCTGGGACATGAGCAAGGCTTCTAGGCAGAGCCTGGTCATTGAACAAGCTCACTTAATTTTCTGCTCACCTTTTGTATGTGTTATAACACCAGCACAAGTGGCAGTTGGTTCAGAGACAGAGTTGGCTTCTTTTTCAGCTGTCTGCAATTCACTGGAGCTGCTGACCACAGGAGTATGTATTACATTCAAGCTGCCAACAGGTGATAACAATTCTAGTGGGCCTGTCAGCCCTGCTGACAGCCTTTGGAAGGAGGAAAAGAGGATTAGCTGAGCAGGGGCCCATGTATTTACTTGGAAGGGAAGGCCTTGCTGCTTGGAATAAGACAGATATTTCTGAGTTGAATGATTTTGCACAGAAGCAGAGAGAGGAAAAAAGGAGAGACTGGCAAAAGGGGCTGACAGAGAGAACAAGACTAAGAGAGCAAGCAAGATGTTGGGTCATTGCAGCTTAATACTTAAAAGTGTGACTAATTACTGTTTCCATTCTCACTGCCTGTCAGTGGGTACCTTCACTGTTGGCAGTGACTGGTGAAGGACAGGATTTTGTCACATGGTGAGCTCTTGGTGTGGGCTTTGGTGGTTTCCCCTCTGCCTGCCAGCGCCAGAGCAGCGATGTTCTGCTTCTTGGTCTGATGAGCTGCACGCCAGAGGGCTGAAAGTTGTGCCACACACTTCAGGGGGATGAGAGAAGGGAGGGAAAGACCTGGCAGTGCCCCAGTGGCTCACCAGGGCTTTAGCTCCTTCTCTGTCAGAGAGGCTAGAGCTGGGTTTGCAGCTACATCTGCTTCTGCTGACTCTCTCTCTCCTTCCCAGGAGCAGGACTGTGGGCCAGGGCAGCAGGGTGGGTGCTGCAGCCCCCCCTGCACTGCCTCAAAGCTGCCTACAGGCACTGGTGGCTGCCAGCTCCTGCCCCAGATGGGTTCTCCCACACTGGTTGTTGGGAAAGTGCCCTTTTCCCCACCTGGATATAATTTTGCAGCTCATCTGTTGAGTCTAGCACTGAAGCATTTTTTGTCATGCTGATTTTGTATGGGATAGGAATCTTGGTGTAACCCAAAGAACAATTCAAATTTTGTGATTGGTCTTGGATAGGAACTTGGTCTGGAAAGTAACTTGAGGATGTTTTTATGAGTATATTTACTGTGCTTTTTTCCCCTTAATTGCAAGAACAATTTTGGTGATCCTATGCTGTTTTTATTTGCACTGAAAGCAAATTTAAGCAAGGCAAGTTTTTTAGTCTGCAAACTTCTCCACATTCTTCTGTGGCCTTGTCAAAATGTCTAGGAAAATGCTGACTGTTTGTTGAATAATCATTGTGAGAGTTACTAAAAGGCAATGGGAATTGGACTGAGTTATTTGCACATTGTCACAAAAAAAAATTAAAAAAAAGGCTGGGAGCATGACACTGCTGTTTCAGATTGACTATTTAGTGAAATGCACAGTTGACTGAATGTCACTTGAGCTTTTTAGCACCAGATGTGATTATAGATGAAAATGCTCCTGTTTATTGTGTGGATTTTCACTCACAATGTTCATAGGGCAGTCTTTGTAATAATGATGATGTCTGCTTTCTGATTAATCTAGCAACAATTTATCTTCTGGAAATAGCAGGTGTTGTGATGCCACTGAACAGTTCTTTATTCTCTTTCTCTTCACTGAATATGGAAAAAAAAGGTGACAAATAGTTATGTTTAGAGCCTCATAAATTGGAATGTAACTTCAGAATATGAACAATATTTGTTTAAAATTTCACATTTCAACAGCAGGATTGAAATGAAGAAAGTAAACAATTTTACTATAGACTTTGGAAATGGGGCAAATATCCAGAGGGTATTTTCCAGTTCAGTGAAAGCTCGGTTTCCTAAGATGGAAATTGTAATTCTTGGTCTACACTTCTTGACATCAGTTTGTCATATTCTCTGATGAGAAGATAATGCTTTCCTTGGTTCTCCTCTAATAGCTGTAACACCTGTGATATCTTTGTGACTTGCTCTTTCTGACTTTGTGAAATCTTTGATGTTGATGATAACTTTCCTCAGCTACTCGACTTGGTATCCACAATCTGTATGTCCCTGTCATGTGCTGGAGGAAGTGAAGAGCTCATGATTTAACCCAGTGGGACTTATATTACATTTTCTATCACTTCTCTGTCATGGAATAGTTCGTGTTTTTACTCTTAATGGTGCTTCTTTAGGCAATATCCATTTTTCTTTTCTATTTTTCCTTAAAAGTTGTCTCCCCAGACCTCTCATGCACTGGTTTTCTCAGTTTATTGATTTTTATCTTCTCCAAGTCTTTTTTAATCCAGTTCTTTTTCCTTCTCTTTTTGGCATCAAACGCAATTTTATTCTTCATTCAGTTGCCTTATTTTATTGTTTTGGGGTTGGATTTTTTTTGTGTGTGTGTGTAACTTCTCCTTAGAAACATATTTACTCCAGGTCTCCTTTACTTTTTTTTTTTTTTTTTTTTTTGCCAACATGTAATGGAAAATTAATCACTCT